TAACTATTAGGAGGAAATTCTTTACTCTTAGGGTGGTGAAGCACTGGTACAGACTGCTCAGAGAAGCTGCGGATGCCCCATCCCTGGAGGCCTTTCAGGCCTGGCTGGATGGGGCCCTAGGCAGCTTGAGCTGGTGGGTGGCAACCTTGCCCATGCTGGGGGTGTTGGAACTAGATGGCCTTTTAGGATTTCTTCCAACCCAAGATTCCGTGATTCTATGATAAAGACACTGTTGGCCAGTATTCCAGATGATGTCTCATCGCTGTCATCAATAGCTTTCCCACTTCTCTGTCAATTGGAAATATACTGTCTGAAATAGTCAGCATGTTAACTTTTAACAGGAATCAACTGTGTCCTCTTTCCCTCCTCATGATTTACAGTTCATTAACTCTAGTTTAGACCTGAAGTTCAGGATAATCCTGAAGTTTGTGATGTTTCACTTCAAATTATTAAGTAGATGATTAAAGTTTACTTTATTTGTCAGGCTAGATCTCAAGTTCAGTTCTTGCTGGGCAATGTTTTGAATCTTTAAATACACCCTCTATAAAGACATTCCCCCAAAACTACACGGTGGTTTTCAAATTCACCATCTTTTTTGCTGTGTCCTGGCCATCAGTGACAGCATTGGTCTGCTTGTTCTCAAGAATAAGAGATTAAGAGATTCGTATCAGAAGCCCTTTCTGTGTGTTGAGTAGTCCTCCAGTTGTTGCCTATACTTTTTTCAGGCCATCCAAACAGTGACTGTTGAAAGGTGTAATTTCTTAATAAAGGGAAATGTGACAGTAAAACTGCTATCAGCTATTAGGTAATTGCAGCTCTATTTCCGTTCAGTGAGTGGAAAATTATTCTTGTTTGAAAGAGGATTATTTGATTGCTGCTTATTTGGGAGGTGCTTTCTCGCTGCAGATTGCACTGATGCTGCTTAGGACCTGCCAAAGCCCATGCTTCTCAATGTCAATAATACTCAAACTTCACATGTCTCTTAAAACCAAAAGGTGAAAATATGAAGAGTGTCTACATGTTGGAGAGGAAAGATTGCTTCAGCTGCTGGCTTACAGAGTTGTGGTTGAGCAAGATAAGGAAAGGAATGACGTTTCCACTGAAGGAAGAGTTGGTTGGTTGTTTTTTGTTTTTTTGTGTTTGGTTTTTTTTTTTTTTTGTGGTACCAGAGGGCTTGTACATGGCTTTTACTCTACTTAATTCAAAACCAGGGAATATCTGGTTGCATACCTTGACCTTGACCTCAAAGTCAAAGTCCTGTTACATCCCAGATACTTTGGCATCCCTGTATTCCTATTTCTATTGCACACAGGATGACTGCATTCTTCCTTCCCTTCTCTATTCAAAGGATCCACCTTTTCTACTTTACCATTTTTGCCAGTGTTTTTGCATTGCCCTATCTCTGCGTACAATTTATTTTCCAAGGGATTCTGTATCCTTCATTTCATTTTCTCTGTACCATGTCCACCAGGATTCCCTTCTCTCATCCTTCTCCCTTTCTCCATCACAGACTGAATTAAACACTTTGGATTTACAGTAGAAGAGCTGAGATCTTCAGGCTGTTGGAAGATTTTATCAACCTGTATTTTGAGAGGTAGGCATGCCAACTATTGTTGGAAGTGCTGGGCATGTTAAATAGCAGCTCCAACTATCACTCTCTGGTTGATTGTCCTCAAAATCAGGCAGTTCCTTATATGCTGGAAATGACTAAATGTAATATAGTGAAGTTGTCACGTTACAGTTAAGCATGAACAAACATGGGTATGAAGTTCTATGTGGGCTGTGTCTTTTCAAGGTCCAAAGGTGAAGGCTCACTCCTGGGTACAAAAGCTGCTTTACCATTTCAGGTACTGATTAATGCAATATTTTTAAAAATCAAATTCTTAGTACTAAGTTATCAGCATTTAAACAGTAAGGAACTACACAGAGGGAGAAATGTGCATATCGTACAGGAACTAGAGAGCCCTCTCTGGCAGAACAAGTACATCTGTCAGATGAAAACAGAAAACCAGGTGCAAATGGAGCAGAAAAAGGATGCAACCCTCACAGAAATCTTCCATGCAATATACTGGGCGCAGGGCATATACAAAGCAATAAAGTTTAGGATTTCCAGGTGCTGTCATTGACAGCCAAGATTAATGACTCATTCAAATATGTGTAAGTGATGCACTTTGAAAATAAGAATGTGGGCAGACAGGTATGGGCACGGAAATGCACACAACAGTTTGTTTAAACAGTGTCTTCCCAACCAGCTTGGTAACAGGCTGTAGTACTGCTCCATGCCTGCAACCTACATCTCTTGTTGCAGTGCCACAGAACCCTGCTTGGCTCCCATCCATGCCTCCTGAACTTGCAGAGTACCCAGCACAACAGCCTTAAGAAAGAAAGAGGAAGAAATTATAAGAAAAGAGAAGAAGAGGGGAAAATATGTGGCATGCGTTGGTTTCATACTGATTAAGAGTCCTTGCTGGAGATCCCCCAGACCAGCACTTCCCTTCCTCACATCAGGCCCGGCCCACTGAAAGTGCTGCCTGAGTGACTATCCAAATGGCATCTGCCTGCCTGAGTTGGCTCCCACTGTGGTCCTCACAGCATCAACTTGGACAGCTGCAGCAGCAGGAGTGGGAATGGCCCCCCATTCCTAGGATGGTTCAGGTGCCCTGAAAGTGCGTGTTTAATGGGAGCTGTCATGAAGGTTGTTGGAGAGACACGTGGAAATAGCAACCAGCATGGTGCCCTATGAGCTGGCTCATTAAAGACACTAATAACGATGTGCAGCATTCCTCTGCCTTGAGATCACCACCCCAGAGTAATCAGGATGATGCCAGAACTGTGCAACACCTTCCAACGCTGTCATTAAAAGCCAAAACTTCGCCTCAGAAAAGTCAGTGCCAAAACCCCATTCAGTCTTCTGCTGCCTTTTCGCCATCTTCTGCCAGCCCAGACATTGGGCACACACCAGTAGATGGGGACATTAGCCTATGGGTGGATGGGAGCCAGGATTAGGCCTGGTAAGTGGCCTCCTGATACCCAGCAGCTCTACTCTTCTGGTTTTCTTGCTATTTCTAGCACAGAGGCAATATACTCAGGACAGAAAACAGCATGAGTGGAAATGAAAAAGATAAGATTCTGTAAGATATCATACAATAAATACAATGCAGTATTGTATAAGATAAGACTGCTACTGTTAGAAAATCTATTGCTTGGTCAAATGATAAGGAAGGACAAAATAAGTCTTCTGGGGCTTATAATTCGTTGTGTGTTTTTAACGATTAAAGTTTTCTGTTTAGGGAGAAGTTGAGGGGAGGATGGTTTCCTTTGTTTCAGATCATACTTCTAACTATAAAGTTCTTTTGTCTCTCAATGCTGGTGGGAGCTAATCACTACTGTGGTCTGAATAATACACCTGTCTCAACATCCAGACTTTTCAGAGGGCACCTGATTTTTAGAGGAGGCTCCTAAGTAAAGATGTGTGCTGAAGGCACCCAGCACCCCGCAGGCGCAGGGAGAGAGGTAGAGCTCAGAAAACCTCAAGGACCTTTCCTTCCAACTGTAGGGCAAAGTCTGTGGAGTGAAAACACAGAGCAGTTTTCTTCTGGAAGTTTATGCCTAGGACCTCTGTGCTTCTCTGTAGTAGCACATGACTGCGTGCCACAGCACGAAGGTTAAGAAAATGTCCTCAGAGGACAACCAGACTGTTTTCCTCTTCCTGTATCACAGAATTTGTCTGTTCATAATTATACCCAGGGCAGTTAGAATCTCTTTAACTCTTTTCAGTATATTTATGTGTTATATAAACAGGGCTATAGGGACAAGGCATACCCTACAGGCTAACAATGACCTGCTTTGCACAATGACAAGCTTTGCACGTAGCATCTCTTCCATTTTTTATTTGAAAGCATCTCCTGAACAGTGGAGTAACATCACAGAATCACAGAATCACAGAATTGTAGGGGTTGGAAGGGACCTCCAGAGATCATCGAGTCCAACCCCCTTGGATCATCCTTGGAGAGCCCATCAGAAGCACCGCTGTGGCCTGCGTGTGACCTGGGCACAGCCTAGACTGACCTGGACAAAGAGGTGAGCTGGGCTTGGTGCCTGGTGCCTGGTGGCTGGAAGGAGTCTCAGCAGAAAAGCTGGGCTGGGGAGGAGTTCCCAGCTCAAACGAGGCCATTCCCAATGGCTGTTTCCAGGGGAAATTGTTTCTCTGAGAGATTGTGGCACATGTTTTGGTGAGGATGACGAATTGCCGTCACTCCCCTGTGTAACGCTACAGTGCAATGGAAAGTGCAGCAGTAACAGCAGGGTGGCAAAGTCCTAGGCTGCAACAAGCGAGTATTTGCCCAAGTGCAGCAGCTGGGGACACAGAAAACAAGGAAAAAAGCTGCTGAGCCTTGGAAGGCCTCAGGTAGCAGGGATCTCCAGACAGGCACCCTTGCCTCCACTGCCAACCCTTCAGCGATGTCTGGGAAGGGTTTGTGTGCACCTGAGCTGCCCTGGGTTGGCCCTACCTTCCCACCAGGTGCTCAATGACTGCCTCAAGCTGTGACTGACCATTGCTGCGCAGCCCTGCAAAACTGCAGCTGGGCCCCAGCCTTTATCTCAGACATGACAAAGGAAGAAGAGCACAGACTTGATGCAGTGCAACTTGTGCTTTAATGACCCACGGAGCACTGGCTGTGCCGTATCCAGCAGATTTTTAACAAAACCCCACTGAAGATATGGTGGAGAGCCGAGTGCTCAGCTGGGGACATGGATTGTCCGGTGACATCACAGGCACGGTGACATCACAAGCACGGTGACATCACAAGCACTGCTTGGGGCCGTGGCTGCCACCAGTGAGTGCCACAGCCGTGAGCGCTGCGCAGGAGTGTGGACACGCTGCGTAAGCTCTCATCCCAGCTGGCAGTGAGAGTGGTGTTGGCTGACGGGTGCTGCCCGCTCTTGCTGACGGTATTGCTCAGCCATTGGGCTGGTGTGTGAACTGGAAGGGAGAAGGACTGCAGCTGTGCCTGGTAAGCCAGAACTGTAGGTTTGTCAAACGTGTGAGTCGTACCAGTGCATCCATTGCAGCTGCAGCAAGAGGAGAAGATGAAGGGAGTCATTTTCATGTCAGGAACGCAAAATGTGTGCTGCTATGTGTATAACTGGTGATGAGATGGAGGACAGTGCTTGCTGGGAGAAGTCGTGGCAGTAGTTAGACACAAGTTGGATCTAGACTTGGCACAGTTTTTGCAACCAGCTGCTTCTGAGACACTGCCCTCCTCTAGAGTTCATAAAAGAAGAAAGCTGGAAAACGCTTATTCCTCATGATTCTTCCCTTGTTGATGCCTCCTCTAGGGTTCCTGTCCGAGAGGACATTTTGTGGATCCAAGCAGCTCCGGACTGCAGCCGGCTCTTTCCAAGAGCGGGGAATTCCTTTGGAGACAGCCCAACCTTGCTCTAAGAAGTTCCCCATGGCTCTGCAAGGAGACGACTGCTACTACTATTTCAACTCCATCTGTCTTAAGGTATGGTTGGGTGTCTTTTGCCTGGATTTTCTTCCTTTCCTCGCTTTGAAGAGGAAGGGGTGGAGCGGGGGGAGATCTGCTGGCGATGCGTTGCCTTCATCAGCAGTGGGATTGTGCGCTCCCTGCTAACAACGTGGGCCAGCAGCACGGACGTGTTTCAGGCTGTGCTCTTATTTTGCTGTGTGGTTTCCTTTTGCTCGCAGGGAGACAGCTGTCCCTTCCGCCACTGTGAAGCGGCTCTGGGGAGCGAAAGAGTCTGCCGACTGTGGATACAGGGCTGCTGTTTCCGGAATGACTGCAAGTTCAGACACATGAAAATTGAAGTGAGTGTTTGCCTAAAGATGAGCTCTCCACCTCCCTCAGGCACGACCTGGAGCACTGCATCTCTCTGCAAACGTCCTCTGCCTGTTTCCATGACCCTTCCTTTCTTTCTCTCTTCAGAAGAAGCGCAGTGAGGTTCGCTGCTATTGGGAGAATCAGCCCGGAGGCTGTCAGAAACCCCACTGCCGTTTTCTTCATTTGAAGGAACGCGGTGGGAACGGACTGACCGTACCACCAAGCAACGGTGAGTTCCTGATGGCATGAAGCATGGAAGACTTAATTATGAATATTACTTCTGAGTGGGTGCAGGATGTCAGGAAACCATTCATTGGGGAGAGCAGGGAAGAGTGGTGCTAAGTGAAATATTGGTTTGTGTTTTGGCTGTCAGAATAGGGGTGTTTTTTTTCTGCAGGGAGTTAAATGCATTGTAGGTGTGTGCTGTGCTGACTGCAGAAATGACACAACGTTTGAGCAGGGGAAAGGCAAACACAAGAAACTATGCATGAAAATTGGAAGCTTGTGGCTGACTGTGCTGAAACCTTCTTCCAAAGAGATGCTCTTCAATTATTTCTTGTCTTCTTTCTGCCAGAAGCTGACACAAGTGGCCTTCCTCTGATCAGCGGCCTTGCAGAAAGTCTGGAGAACCAGATAGAGGTTGAGAAGGCACCAGAGAGAGGTTCCAGATACTGAACAGGCATCTGGGTTTGATGCGCTGCCTTTCTACTCACATGTTCTGATTGTTCTCTCCTGGACTGTTCTCTGCAGGTGACATCCCAACTTCCTCCCATGGCCCAACTGCGCAAAAACGCAAGCAATCTGAGGAGGAGGAGGACAAAGCAGAGGAGCTGCCGTGCAAGAAAAGAGTCAAGGGTGAGCACCAGGAGCTTGCTACAGTGCCTCAGCACAGTAATGCTGTCAGTCAGCGTTGTTCTGCATCAGAGTTTTCCTTGCCCTGGACTATTGCTGAGTGCAGCTCTTGGGTTTCTTTGTTCTTTTCGATGTGCTGTCAGTAGACAGAGAGAACTGTGTGCATAGCACTGCTGAAATCCTGGACATGGCAGTGTAATTCCGCTGGCCAAATGTATTTTACTTCCTGGAAGGGTTGTGGGAATGATTGGAGAACGTGGATTTCTCTTGAGGCACAGCAAGACCTTATCAGCAACGTCTTCCTTTTACTTCAGCTGGACGCAAGGTGCGCGGGAGGCCTATTGACTGGAAAACCACCTTCCCCACAATGCGGAGACTGAAACGGAAAGCAGCAGAGATGCAACCGTCTGCTGCTGAGGACACTGATGAGCCCCCAGCCAGAAAACTACCTATGGTAAGAACAGCGGCAACAATGGCAGTGCATACGGAAGGTTTACACTGCTCTCGTAGTAATGGTAGAAGTTTCAAATGTTGCGCAGGTCTTCTGTTTCCTCTGAAGGCAGCAGATGTCTTCCAGGGCACTTGTGGAAATTCTCTGTTGCAATTAGATGTACACAGATTTTGTCCATGAACACTGCGCTGCTAAAAACTCCTAAGGTCACTTGTAACCTTCAAGGGAACGCTTTCTTCAGGAGCAATGTGCTTCTGTATTTGGGATCAGGCTCAGCAGTGCCCCGGGAAGGGAGGAGCAGTCCTCAAAGATCATCTGGTGTTCCTCCTGTCCTACTGTGGCCAGGGGTGCCACCACAAGACTCAAATGCCTGGAAACCCATCCAGCCCGGCCCGGAATGCCTCTGGGAATGGGGCATCCACAGCTTCTCTGAGAAGAAGAGCTACTTAGACAATCTTTGAGCCCTGCTTCACACACACTGTCTTGTTTCTTCCTAGGCGATCCTTGCTTCAGTCCCGCCCGAGTACACCCTGGTCAGCGTTGAAGTCCTAAAACTTCCAAGCAGGTGATGACCACTGCTTGTTCTTCACCAGTGCCCTCTATCCGTTGCGCATAAGTTCTTTCACATCAGGGGACAAGTGGAGTGTTTGAGATGTGCCATGGCGTAATCCAACAAAGGAAGAAGTCATCTGCACTAATTTCAATTGCTCACTCAAAGTCTCTGCTGAGTATGTCATGGGGAGAAGTAACTCAGTCTGTAACAGGTGGACGTAACAGAGGATGACTTCTTCCCATATTTACAGTCAAATAATGAGGCTGGCAATGTGCTTCTGCTACAAAACCTGACCCATGTTGGCTGGACTCAAATTGCTCTATCTGTACACATCAATTCCCACTGTGAGAAATGTGCCTGCTGGTGTCTTGCACTCTAAAGGCAGCCTCAGGTTAACTGAATTGCCATCCCTATATGAGCATGAGGTGCGGGAGGGGTTAACCACAGATCTCAGAGCTGGTGTGCTGAAAGCTATCTCCAGTTAGAAATGTCAGGTGCTGATTGTTCTCTTCCTTGTTCTCCCCAGTCTGGAACTGCTTTCGGGAGGCCAGGCAGACTCTGTGGCACAGTCAGAGATCCCACACTCAACATCCCGTGCCACGCAAGAAGCAGACCAGGCGCAACAGCTGAGCTGCACAGAGGTGGGGAAAGAACTCTTCTCTGAGGATGAGGAGCTCGAGAAGTTCCTGATGGAAGTCACAGAAGAAGAACTGGAAGCAGAAATTGATGACACTGTGGATATAGATGAGCTCCTAATGGAGCTCTCAGACCAACAACATTTCAACATCATAGTCTGATTGAATATTTTAAAAAAACAACAACAACCATCAATTAAAACCAACCCTATTCGTTTTCAACCCTGTTTCTTTTCTTTCTTATTCTGAGGGGACGCTTTTCCTGAAACTCTGTAATGAGTCTTAAGGCAGAGTCAAGCTGGTAAAAATCAGCAGTGCCTGCATTCTGTTCTGATTTCCCTGCTGGTCAGAGTTCAGGGGCCGTGCACCCACTCCCCAGCTCTGGGCGGCTGCCTTCAGCATCGAGAGCACAAAGCATTTGTGTGGGCACAGAACGACATCCATCCACAAGGCCAAACCTGAAACTGCTTCCTTCCTCCCCCCTTAGCAAAACTGCATTGGGTTCAAGTGGAGGCTCTGGGGTTCTGCTTCCTTGGACAGTGCCTGTGTCAACTGCAGCGCCCACCTCCCTCTCGCATCTCCCACTTCCTCACCCCTCAGGTCTCACGCTGCATGCTGACATGCATGAGGTTGCTGATAAGGTCTTGCTGTGCATGTCTAACATGCTGAAGGTGTAATTCTGGCTGCCTTTTGATGCAGTTGAGTAGCTAGAACTGAGGAAGGAAAGCAGATTTGCATGTTAGACTATTACAGACCCAAATGGGATGAGTAGTCACTGTAGTTTGCAACAACATTTTTGACACGATTTGTAATAGCACGTAATGGCAATTGAGGTGCTGAAGAGAAGGCACGTCTCCTACAGTTTAACCACAGGAACAATTAAAGGTGCAAAAGTCCATTTTCCTCATGTGCTGTCAGGCAGAATACATTAACCTATGAACAAACCCAGAGGTTGCAATCTTTTGTTCTGAGAATTAGCTAACCTCATAATTACAGGTTTTTGTATAACCAAAGGAAACTCCTTTTGATCTGTTCTTTTACACCGAGTTGGTTTACATCAAAATAATCATAGGCATGGTTTGCCCAAGGAATGTCTCCGAGCAGCATGACTGAGATTTTCTTCCAATAAAACTTACTGCACCTTGAGAGTTTCCAGTGAGCTTTCAGGAGGGCTTTCAGAAAGAGAAATTACCCGGAGCTGTCTACCATGATAGAAATGGAGTCTAAGTACAAAAGCTGCCTATGCTTCCCAGAAATATTAGCCTTTCTAAGTCAGGACAGCGTCATAAAACCTCATGACATCATTTGCCTCCATTTAGTCACAACTCATTTCTCACTAATATAAGGAGTGCAATCCAGGGTAGATTTACTTCCATGAACATAATTTACTTTGTTATCTCATGAAAAAAAAGCAATTAGCCCAGATGTCAGGTGTTACTGACTTCTCTACCAGGTAAATTGATGACGGCAGCAGATGTTTCTTCAGGATGGGAACTCCTGTTCTCTCACTAAGAAGACAGGTTGACTTACATCCCCAAATCCAGCAACAATTGTGGCACAGGGTTGTGTAATTTTCCAGCATTCAAATTTCCTTTCAGGAGAGCACGTAAGCAGCAATCTTTGCCTCTTCACCTCTCACAGAGGCACTGCCAAGGGTTTGCTGTGGAAGTATCAGAGCATCTGTGCCAGCTGGGCTGCCTTGGTGCTCAGCATCAGGGCTTACCTCGATGGCAGCTTAAACACTCCTTCCGCTTGGTGTCACACAAGCACAAAGCAGTACCCTTGTTTTGCACATGGCCTTTATTCAGGGTGCTTATTCTGGGAGAAAAAGCTTGTAACTGAAGGCACTTAAAGACACTTCTGCATTTATCAAACTTAGCATGATAAATCCTGGGCTGTTATGCAAGCCTTCGTGTCAGTAAGTTTAACAGCTGTGGTGTCCTAAAGACTGCTCCACGTTTAGAAGGGTAAACAAGGCTCTTTTTCCTTGGTGGTTGCTGAGAAAGCTCCTAACAGGTCTAATAATGCTTTTGTCCTGTGGGAAATATGTATGTTAATTTGGTCATGTAAACACTCCTTCCTCCTAAGGAAATGCTCTGCTTGGCCCTGCATGTCCCTTCACGTGTTTTATAGAAACATTTATATAAACAGTTGACTCCCATGCCTCTTCTCACCTCGTCATTAACATCGGTCAAAATATAACAGCCTCTAAACCCTTTTATATATTTATGACTTCTGTACAGAATCTTCCCAGTCCTCTTCCCCTCTAGAGTTAAATGCCTCTGTTCCATCAGATGAATTCAGGCTGCTTTAGACTTGTCAGTCATGGTAGCCAGGGAGAATCGTCCCTGTAAAGAGCTTTATGGGCATCTCTTGCCCTGATCTTTGTGACTTAGGCATTGAAAAAACAACCTTCAAAACTTAGGACCGGAGCACGTCGTTCCTTCTACATTTTGTATCTACATTTTGGCTACAGTTGTGAAGGCAGCTGCTTTTAAAACAATTTTCCTGTTTTTAAAAACAATTTTTAAACACTGACTGATATCACTGCATCCCTGATTGCTGCTCAGCACGAGCCATAATTATGAATGGAGGGCACAAAAGGAGCTTGCACTGCTGCCATCTCCTGGCCCAGCTAATGAAATCCTCAGAGCAGTAACAAAGGCACGCCTACAATGAAGAGAAATTAAACTAAAATAGTACATCAATCTTCCTGAAGGCAGCAGTTATATGCAGGGAAAGCATGTTGAAGGCAGGGTACACCAGAAGGACCATTGCCTACTGGAAATTGCAGTGACCTCTGCAACTGTCTTGATCATTGTTTTCCCACCAATGTAACACTGATGATGACAATAAGACTCATAAGAAAAGATGCATCTCTCTGTGTTTTGGAAGGCATTTGATATAGTGGATCCGCAGCCAATTTTGTGGTTTTGTTGAAATGATTTCCCCACTGTTTGTACAATGCTTTCAAAGCATGGAAAAAGAGAGAGGAAAATGTTATTTGGTTTTGGGCAGTTAAATGGAAAGCAATGGAAATGACCTAGGGAAGTTCAAGGAGAGGTGGAGGGTCAGACATTGTATCTATATAAGACAGATATTGATTATGTAAGTACAAAATATGTTTAGTTTCTGTCCTTATTTTGTGAGCAGAAGTACAGTACTTTGTTTTTACTCCATTCACACATGCTGAATTTCAGACTCTTTGTAGTTTTTCCATTGCGCCAGCTCACTCACAACACCTTTGCACGTATCAAAATTATTTCTAACGATTAAGAATCCAAAAAGAGCACAACAGTCCCTGATATCACACCTCTGCACTTCCACTGCAGTCTTCCTTCCACTCCTCAGCAATGCATTCTGCTGCCGTTCCCCAGGACGACGGAGCAGGATTGAGCTCTTTGCTCCCTTCCGCAGCCGCCGCTGCATTCATCACCCAGCCAGCTGGCTGCATCAGTTCCCTTCGGATTCTCTTTCCCTGACTAAGCAGTGCTGCCATAAAACTGCATTGTATCTGTGCGCTCTGCCCTTCCTCCACAGATGTTACAACTTCAATGGGCATACACAGTCCCTCAGCAAAGCTAAAATAATGCTGTGCCAAGTTCCTCTTGGCCAAGATACTTCCTGATGCTGATTTTTTTAGAGCAGGTGCCAGCAGCGTACCTTTCCCACCCCAAGGACAGTGCGTCTTTGCTTCATGCCTCCTGGCAGCCCGCCCTCATGGCATCCAAGTTCCTTGGCTTCAGCATGGTTTCCATATGATCAGGTTACATTATTTTGGGATAAGAAATGACTTCGGAGCAGGCAGCACTCTCTGGAGCTCAGTCATTTACACTCAACAAACATTTTGCATACACAAATGTATGCAAAAAACAGAAACATAAAACCTACTCTGAGGAAGAGTTATTTTTCTCATGTGGTGTGGTACGGCAATAGTGCTGAATGAGGCTTTCTGCACAAGCCTCTATCCCATGCAGTGAGGTAAGTAAATGTCATCTGTCATTGCCTATTGTTTAATCTCACTAGCAGTGACTTTAGGGAGACACTGCCACCCTAATGGGATGACTTGTAAGAACTGCAATCAGAATTTGGCCTCACTTGGTAGTTGTTATCACTGCTGTACAGTGTACACTAACCAAAGTTGCACTTCTCTGCTGCTTTTATGGCTCCCTGAGTTCACATGTCACCTTAGTGGAATGCTTTATAAAGGTGTGTAAGAGAGAAGGGATTAGCACTGGTTAGAGACCCGTGCAGTGTGCAGCAGGGCACACCTCTCACTGCTTTCCTACACAGCAGGAGAACAAAGGAGCGCAGAGGACAATATAAAACATTTGCCATGTGTTTATCTTGTCAGTACTGCTCTGTGTGGCTGGCATGCCTGTAAGAAAAGTCACCTTATCTTTGGCAGGAGCAAATGCCTGTGAGCATTTGTGAGTGAACTGCAGTGTGAGTGAAATCCTTCAGCTGGCTGTGGCCGCCACATAGCAGCAGTGAACTGGAGGCACATCCCCACAGGTACAGCTCAGAGCAATTGCCAAAATGCTCCTGCTACTTCTATACCTCTTGGCAGTTTTGTCACGGATCCCAGGAGAGAGATGGGAGCTTGGAGAGTGGCAGGTTGGCCTTTCCTTGAGGGCATTTCTTACCATGGGGACAAATGCTGACTTCCTGCTGACTCTGCCCCATCTCCGCATTACTCTGAGACCTCAGTGGCCACACTTTTCAGCCCTGTGGCTTTTGTGTGCATGCAGATTCATCCTGTGCACACGAGCAGTTGATTTTTGAGCAGAGCCTGGTTCCCCATGGGTCACTGCACACATCCTGCCCCCACAATAGCCACCATCCCCTCCTCTCCACCTCAGTACCCACTGGAAAGCAGCACCGGACGGCTCTCCCCCTTTTCCCTCATTCCCTCCTCCCATTCCTTCAGCTGCATGTCATGCCATCAGAAATTCCTCGCTGCAGTGCTCCATTTTCCTCTGTCATTTGGCAGCTCGGGAGCAGCATATGCTGCAGTTGGCCCAGAGCAGCCGTGTGCCAATCGGAGTGCCAGCACCCAGTGCTGTGCTAGGTTGAGCACGGCCTCTCGCAGCGGAGTGGGCCAGACTGCCCTCCTCGCTCCTCAGGACATGCTGCCCTGCCCTGTCACTGCATTCTACGACTCCTCCAGGAGCCAAATAGCTTTGAAACTCCTTGTTCTCAGGCATACTTGGTAAAAATAG